GGCCTGGCTATCGTCTGCACGCTGCATGCAGGCAGAGAGTTGGCCGTGGCCATGCAGGGGAGACTCAGCTGCAGCTGCCTGGGCAATGCTTTGTGGGGCTTTAATCAAGCAAAGGGAGGCATCTGTTTTATGCAAAGTGAAGACATTTCCTTTCCTTCTCTGTCTTGACAATCACACAGTAAGCCAGCAGGCAGCACACAGTCCCGTACCGTGGTGTGTGAAGACAAAATGTGCCCGTGGCATTGGCAAGTGGCTTCTTAGAGTAGAGGGTGGCCCTGTGCGTCTGCACAGGGTAGGAGTGGGGTATGAGACAGTGGGTTCTGCAAACCCCCAAAAGGCTCCTGAATTGGAAATGATGACGGGAGACCAGGAGGGCTGAAAACAGATAGTTTGAAGGGCTCTGAGGTTTAGTGAGACCGGTTCCTCATGGCTCACCCCCCTGCAGAAAGGAAAAGTCGGTGCCCTGAGTAACCTGGGATTTTGTGACCTCTTGGCCCGTCCGGGATGCAGAGTGTGGGGAGCAGGGGCAGAGGGCTATCAGTGAGCATGTGAGTTAGAGAACACTGAACAGGTTTGGCCATCAGCAAAAGAGGGAACTTGGCCATCTTGGCCTGGACCCTGATCGAGGGAACATTCTCTCCCGACCTCCAATCTCTGTTGCAGTTTTCTTGCCATTTGGCTACACAAATAGCCGCAGACCCTGAGTAGCAAATTACAGTGGCTTCTGAACTATCTGTGTTCTGATTAAATTTTATTGGTAGGCCCTGCAATTTGAATGTCATGTGATACCCACATACCACAAAATATTCTTTGATTTATTTTCAACCTTGTAAAAATGCACAAATGCGTCTTAGCTCTCTAGCCATGCAAAAGGGCGCCTGGCTGGACTTGACCTGTGGGTAGTAGCTTGCTGGTCACCAAACTAGACTTTAAATAAGCATGTTAAAAGCTTAAGGGTGAGTAACCACCCTGTTTCTCACCAGGCAAAAGGAAGGGGGAAAGGAAGAAGAGACACAGCAACGCAATAGAAAGCTCAAATTAAAAAAGTTCAACTATACTAGAAATAAATTAGTAATCATATCAAATTTACATAGACTAAATTTATTGATTAAAATAATTGACTTTTTAAAAAATCCTAATGTTTTCAAAGAGACTCTTAATGTGCATAAGAGTACATTACAGTTCAAAATAAAGAAATGAAAAAATTATGTCAAGAACCTATTTTTTGGGACAAAATGTACTTTTAAGTTAAAACTTCATTGTTAAAGACAAGGAGGGCACTACGTGGTAATAAAAGGAAACTTTTTTTTTTTTAAGTAGGAAGATATAATACTTCTAAGGTTAAAAGTATCTAACAGTTTCTCTAGCATATATTTGTGTCTACTCAGCACCATAGATGGATACACAGAGATGTAAATGCATGACTGTAATATGTATCTACCTGTAGCAAAAAAATTACAGAATTGCAAAAAAAAAAACTTTGGACAAACACACCACTGTAGCAAACATTTTAGTGTAAGCATTTAAATAGTTGAGAGAACAGTCAGATAAAAATCTGATACACATAGAAGATTTGTTGGCAACAGTTGTTAAGCTTTCTCTCTAGGACACATAGAGTATACTCAGCATGTGCTTGCATAAAAATTCTTTTCAAGTTTACTTGGCAACTTTATTAAAATCAGTCACAATCGAGGCTAAAATACAGGCCTCTTCAATGTCAAAAATCACTATATGACAGGCCTCCCTGGTGGCCTAGGGGTTAAGTCTCAGCGCTATCACCACTGTGGCCTGCGTTCAATCCCTGGCCAGGGAGCTGACCCACATGGCGCAGCAGACCTCTCCTGTCTCCCGGCTGCTCCCCTCAGCAGGGTATTTCAGTAGATCCGTCTGTTGTGGTTTACACCCCAGTTCTTCTACACACACACACACACACACACACACACACACACACTCTCAGCATATGACAAATTAACCTAGGAGACAAAAGAGAATTATAATAAAAACAAATGTAAAACTTAAACTGGAACGAAAATACACGTGGACTACAGTGAAAGTGGTTACCAGAAGCAGTTGTAGAACCTTGTTTATCAATATGCAGGTCTGAATATTAATGAATTAGAGGACCAACTATAAGTGTAGAAGAAAGAATTAAAGAATAAACTCAAAGGAAAAAAAGAGGAACATGTCACTATTATTTTCAGCATATTTTTCAGAGAGAAAGATTACACCCTTGCTCATTTAGGCTGCCAGGATAGCCAGACAAGTACATCTATGGGAAAAGAAATTTATAGGCCACTTTCATTTATAGGTATGACTTAAAAAAAATCCAACACACTAGGAAATAAATCCAATAATATTTCTTAAAAAGCACAAAATTATCATATTGAGACGGATTTTTCTTGGATTGCAAATTAAGTGCATTTATCAGTAAAAAAGCAATTTGAAAAATTAATCTATACATTAAATACAATCCCAACCAAAATCCCAAGTCATTTGTTCACTCAAACACACACACTTTTGAAAAGAGTAAGGTGGTTGTTGGTGGTGGGAGGCTTCCTGGTAGATATTAAAACTCATCATAAAGTTTTATTGTATAGTAACAATAATTAATGCACAGTGATAAAAGAAATAGTCATGGTAGGAAAAGACTTGTGAAATAAGATACACAGCGTAAATAATAGAGACAAGTGCAGCTATCTTTAAACTAAAAACTTACTTTATCAAGTAATGGAATTCACAAAATGATGAACAGTTTGCATGATGGGGAAAACACCTACTATGCATCTAGTGTATATAAGAAAAAGAAATTTGCGTAGGGCCTCCCCGGTGGCGCGGCGGTTGAGCGCTGGGTTGCGGAGCTGCCCGCGGCCTCTGCAGCACCGGTTTGATCCCCGGCTGCTCCCTGGCCACCAGAGGAGGGTCCCACATGGCGCGCAGACCTCTCCTGCCACCCGCTGCTCCCTTCAGCAGTTTACTTTGGTCCTTCTGCCTGCTCTGCTCCCTGCCCTGGCTCTGGTGAATTCTCACCCTCCCGTGCTTCTGACTGTACCCAGTGCTTGTATAAATAAATAAATAAATCTTTACAAAAAAAGAAAAAAGAAATTTGCATAGTCAATAATGCAGATCTCAGAGCGGGAAGCCTGGTGAAGGCCCATGAGAACTGCCCTAGCTGGATGCTGACAATCAGGGGGAAATGCAAATAGAAATCCATTGTTAATGACATGGGGACCAGGAATGTGCCCATACCTTGCTGTTTACTCATTTTTCTTTTAATTTTCCTGCAGGAATGCTTGAGTGTGCTAAGGTGGAAGGAAAAAACCCACCACTCTGGGTACTTTATATTTTGTGTTTCAAAAATGATTGCCCCACTTATAAATAGTAGCCATAGATATTTGAAGATAATGTCTCTGTGCTTGGTTGTGGTTAGCCTAGAAGGCCCAGATGGGCATGTGTCTGTGCACAGCTTCCAACACTGAAACCCTCAAGCAAACTGTGATGATAAGTATCAGAGTTTTTGCTGATGCCCTCTAAAAAAAAGATAGTTCTTAGAAATGCATAAATATGTTGTTTTTCTTGGTTAAAAAAAAAAATCTGATGTTGTGGGGAGAAGAAGCCAGAGGGAATCCTGGAGCAGCTGGAGAGGGGGCAATCTCAGCCCTGACCTCAGTCCACCTCAGCCTCCAGGGAATAAAATTTCTAATATGTTAAAAAAAAATCCAATGAAATACATTTCAGTCCTCTGGTTGGCAAAAGTAAAGCACAGACAAGTATCAAGTGTTGGTCACTATTTGGAACAAACAGGAACATTGGTTTGCTTTTGGTGGGTGTACTTCTGCGGCAATCTCCACTTTGGAGAGGAATTTGACAGTGTCTGTTCACATTGAAGATGGACTCACTTTATGACTTATCCATTTATACCTTGCAATGACCTCAGAATTCTGAGGGAGTGGGAAAATCCCTAAAATCTTTCTGAAATTCTCTAGAAATTTGCCTCCCCAGCATCCTTTCTCAGGAAACTACTAGAGGATGTGCTTCAGCAAAATAAGAAAGTAAAACAAGAAAGCAGGAGACACAGAAGCCAGGAAATGGACTAAACTCAGGAGAGCCCTGGAAGGTTCTAGGAGATTCTAGATTGGGGAGTCACAGCAATCCTGGACAGAGGTCTAGACAGCAAGCTGTGCAGATGTGAGCAGACAGGTGCAAGACTTCAGGGAGGAAAATGGAACTGATGAATCACCTAAGAGGTGGAGAACTTGCTGGAACAAGAGAAAGGCACACAGTGGTATGCTATGAAATAGCTGACAGGAAACAGGGAATATTCGAGAAAGATCGTACATGCCATCAGTCATTCTGCTGGGTTTGCTGGTGGGACACTTGGAACAAAATAGAAAATCAAATACAATGTAGTTGTGTGAACTTTACATTCCAGGGCTTGTAAATTAGGATGGTTTAGACTCCCTGCCAGCTGTTCAATTCCAACAGTGATGGCTTCTGTGCTGATTCAGCTGGGCTCTTGACTTACTCAGTTCACACTTAACAAGATGAATAAACCCACATCCTGGTCACCCAGCACCAGGCCAGGAGCTGGGGTTTAATGGTGAGTGCCGCCAGGTAACTCCCTGCCCACGCAGGGCATCTATTGTGCATTGGTTCAGAGCTTAGAGCGGGATGGTGAGCAGCCTGAAATATCTTGAAGGTCTGCACACATGCATATGAATGAAAATAAGATTTTGAAATTTATACCAACTCTAGAAATTGCCTTCCATTTCACCGGGAGCCAGTGTCCCTCATGGTGAACTGTAGCAGATTCTGGTGATCCAATTGGACGTGGTTTTTGTCATCAGCAGCCTGCAGTGTCTTGACAGCTATGTTCTGCTCACCGCTGCTCTCGGCCGTCCATCTCTGTGTGCTTTGCATGGGGGCTAAGTGGCACTAGGTAGGTCCTGCTTAACCTCTCAGGCGTAGCCTCCCTCACCTTCTCTCTGCTTGTCCTTCTGCAGGGATTGTGTTTGCACGTTACGGCCCAGTCTGGAGACAGCAGAGGAAGTTCTCCCACTCGACGCTCCGTCATTTTGGCTTGGGGAAGCTGAGCCTGGAGCCCAAGATCATCGAGGAGTTTAAATACGTGAAAGAGGAGATGCAGAGGCACGGAGACAAGCCCTTCAGCCCCTTCTCCGTCATCAACAGCGCCGTCTCCAACGTCATTTGCTCTTTGTGTTTCGGCCAGCGCTTCGAGTCCAGTAACTGCGAGTTTAAGCGGATGCTCGATCTCATGTCGCGGTCGCTGGAGATCTGTCTGAATAGCCAGCTCCTGCTGGTCAACATCTGCCCCTGGCTCTACTACCTTCCCTTCGGGCTCTTCCGGGAATTAAGACAGATAGAAAAGGATATAACCATTTTCCTGAAAAAAATCATCAGAGACCACCGAGAGTCTCTGGATGTGGCGAACCCGCGGGACTTCATAGACATGTACCTGGCCCACGCGCAGGAGGAGCGCAGGAGTAACAGCGGCAGCAGCTTCGACGAAGACTACTTGTTTTACATCATCGGGGACCTCTTCTTTGCTGGGACCGACACCACAACCAACTCGTTGCTCTGGTGCCTTCTCTATATGGCACTGAACCCCGACGTGCAAGGTGATTGGTAGCTGTTTCCTTTATTCGTGGCATGACCAGGTTGTTTAAATCAGGGTCGGCACCCCACCCTTGGGGATCCCATGGTTTCCTTTTTTTTTAAAGAAGATTTATTTATTTATGCACACAAGAACTGGGGTACAGACCAGCGGTGTGGAGGGTGAGAGGATTCACCAGAGACAGAATGAGGAACAGAACAGGCAGATCTACTGAAATACACTGCTGAGGGGAGCAGAGGGAGACAGGAGAGGTCTGCTGTGCCCTGTGGGTCAGCTCCCTAGGGGATAGAACTGAGACTTTAACCCCTGTGCCACCAGGGAGACCCCCATGGTTTTAATTCTAAGTGGTCTCTTTGGGCTGGAAATACTTGTGCCTCTGAGGGATTGTGGGTGGTGATGCTCCAGGTACCTAGGCTGTGGGACGGACATCATGACTTGCTTGCCCCAGCTTTAGTCTCTGCGGGTCTGGCTTTGTGTGAAATCTGTGATGCAGAAAGAACTTTAGAGCCAGTGGCATTTTAGAGCTGAGGGGAGTTGTGATGATCTGAGCCCACCCACCTTGTTCTGAAGGTTAGAGAACAGAGAGAAGGGCAGGGGAGAAAAAAAAAGGCAAGAAATAAAAAGAAAAAGAGAGAACCCAGAGAAAGTTCTGTGACTTTCACAAGGTCACACAGCTCGTTCCTCCACACCGAAAGATGTATGGTGGTGAAGCCCTGTGCACTGTCAGCCTCTGGTGTATCTAAAATCAGGGTGTTGGCAGGACGGCATTCCTTTCTGAGGCTCTTGCCGCCTCTCCCAAGCCAGGGCTGCTGCCTCTCGTCATTCCCCCACAGTCACAGCTCCCTCCAACTCTGAACTCAACCCGGAAAAGGCCTCCAATTTAAGAATCATGTACATAGATGGATGCACTAGAATGCCCAAGGTCATGTCCCCAGCATGTCCGCAGGGACCATTTCTGCCAGCGCTCCCTCCTTGCTCTTCCTGGCTGGTTAGCTCTGGTGGCAAACTGCGCTGACCCCTGCTAGCTTAACGCACCCAGCATTCATCACCCCACCTAGTTGCTAAGGACCAGGAGTCCAGGCAGCACTTCCGAGGCGGTCTGGCTGAGGGTCTCCTGTGAGGCTGTCACCAAGGAGTTGGCCATCACAGACTTGACTGGGCCTGAAGGAGCCACCTGCAGCATGGCTCCTCCTGTGACTGGGCTGCCCCGTGGCTCTAACGCGGCTGCTCCGCCACAGCCTGTGAGCCAGGAGACAGCGCGTGGCTCACACGGGCTCAGAACTGACGTGCCGTCACGTCTCCATGTCTGCTGGCCGCAGACCAACTTGGTGTGGGGGAGGGGGAGACCGTGGTGTGAACCCAAGAGTCAGGGTGCAGTGGGGGCTGTGTTGGGTGCCACCTGTTGCTGCACGTAAAAAATGGGAGTGCCAGCCTCGTGTCTACGTGGGGGTGATGCAGAGTGGCCCGTGGGCGCAGAGGGCATCTTTTTTTACAGCTTTATTTTTTATTCTATCTTTCTTAAATTATGTTTACTGAAGTACGGCAGGCTGACATCTTTGTATCTGTCCTGAGCGTTAGGGGTCCAAGCCCTGACAGTGTGTACTTTCACTCACTACCCACCACCAGCCTCTCCACCCTATTTCGTTGGCCCCTCTCCCCTTTGCTGTGGCCTCCGGTGTGCCGTCAGATATTGAGAGTTCGTGACTGGTTCGGCTTGGACTCATCGGCGGTTGTGTTTCTGTATATTCCACATGCAGTGATGCCGCCCGTCCATTTGTCTTTCTCCTCCTGACTTACTCGCTGAGCACTTTCCTTTCCAGTTCTTCCATGTTGCCACGATGGCAGGAGTTCATCCTTTTTTATTGCTGGTGGCTATTCCATTTGTGTGTGCATGTGTGTGTGTGTGTTGTGCGTGTGTGTGCACACCATATTTATCTGATCTACTCCTCTTTCCTTGGGCGCTGAGGCTTTTTCCATCACCGGGCATTGCAAACAGGACTGCAGTGAGCATAGGCGTGCAGCTCTCCCCTTGAACCTGTGCTTTGCATTCTTCGGAGAGATACATCTACGGGTGGAATTGCTGGGTCATGTGCTAGCTCCATCTTTGAGGAACCTGCTTACTGTTTCCACAAGGGCTGGGCCAGTCCACATCCCCATCACAGCTTACGAGGCTGTTTTTCTCCCCATTGTCCTGCTGACCTCCTGGAAAGTCACAGGATGCGCTGGGGGCTCTCGAAGATCTGACCCTGCTCGTGTGCATCCGAGGGCAGCCTCAACGCTCCTGACTTATCTTCTGGTTGTTTCCCTCTATTTGTACAGCAAAGGTTCACGAAGAAATTGAAAGGGTCATCGGTCCTGACCGCGCCCCCTCCCTCACGGACAAGGCCCAGATGCCCTTCACGGAGGCCACCATCATGGAGGTGCAGCGGCTGACGGTGGTGGTGCCGCTCGCCATCCCCCACATGACCTCGGAGGAGACAGGCAAGTCCAGGCTTCCTCCCTGGGCGCCCATGAGGTCCCTGAGTGAGGAGGTGTTGGGGTGAGAGAGTGGGGACTGTCGTAGCTTGCTCCTTCTGCGGGTTCAGCATCACGCTGTGGACAGCTGAATGTCGGGGGCGTTATCCATTTCCCACCAGGTGGCCTTCTTGGCAGAAAATACTCCAGCGCTAGCAGGGTCCCCTCCCATGGAGGTCAGAAGAGTGAGTCTAAATATGGAATTGAGGATTTTAACTGGGGATCCTCCCACCTCCATGTTGGCAGTTCTACAGCGAAGCCTCAGTGTGAGAGAATTAGAAGGGCCCACCGAATCGAAGGCACATGTTTGAACCCTTCACCTATGGTGCCTTTGTCCATTTGGTCACACCCAACTCCTGTAAACGTCCCTCCTAACAAGGAATTGTCCTCCCTTGGAGGCAGCCGGTGGTGTCACAGGCTCACATCTGGTTGTAAGTTAGGAGCCAGCTGCAGGCGGCTGGGCGCACCTGCGGCCCCTGTCCTAGCACCACCGGGCATCTCTCTTCAGGCACTGGTCAGAGCGCAGTCACGTGCCCCAGGGGAGGAGCTGGGTCGGCTTCCCTGTACACACCCAGTGATCTAGGTTTACCCCCCTCGCCAGACTGTTGTGAGGGAATAGAAGACTGAGCTGGAAAGCGTTGTACAAGGGCTAGGAATCTCTGCCTCTTGGGACCGTTTTCCCAGAGTGCCCCACTGTGGCTGTTTTGGGGTTTTGTTTTCATTGTCCTGTTTTTGTGGCTTGATTTAATTAACTAGCTCGCTATCCATCAGCTCCCGTGCCCTGTCTCAGGCAGGGTGTGATGTGGACGGGACACCGGGGGATTAGATTTTCTCCCTGCCCACAAATACCTGAATGTTCAGACTCAGCCTATTCAGATGCTAGGTATATAAGTAGATTTTTGTTTTTCAGCTCGTGATTTAGAGACACTTTTTAGTAACAGTGTGCTGAGTGACCGTGTTCTTTTGTTTATTTCAGTGCTCCAAGGGTATAGGATTCCTAAAGGCACACTGATCTTACCCAACTTGTGGTCAGTACACAGAGACCCAGCCATTTGGGAGAAGCCCAATGATTTTGATCCGAATCGATTTCTGGATGATCAAGGACAACTAATTAAAAAAGAAACCTTTATTCCGTTTGGGATAGGTCAGTTAAAGTTTAATTTTTTTAATGGCATAATTTAAAAAAGGAGAACTCAAATTATTATTTTATTATTTCAAGATTAAAAAAATCTTTTTATTGGCAAGCTAAGAGAAGATAAATCTTCTCTAATGTACCTCCGCTTTGCTCATTTCAGATGTTAAAAACAAAATGAAAGCAATTTGTTGTACACCTGTCAGTATGGGGCCAGCCTTTCTTTCTGGGCTGCCCAGGGACTGTAGGAGTGGAGGCAATGTGACCTCTCTTGAGGTGGGTTGGGGGGGGGGTCCTCCAATCTCACAGGTTTCTCCTTTAACTTCCTAGACTACGACATTGGGGTGTAGAAATGGGATGCCCCGGAGATCCTTATTGCACTCATTTTCCCCTTGATCTTCCAACTAAGAGCAAGGTAGGGACGAGACATGGAACTTGTCTCCAGTTCCTGTCTAGGATGAGGTCAGCGTTTATTAGTCCACGCGTGAGCGTTGGTGTGCAGAAATTCTCATCAGTGTATATCGTGGGAGACCATCAGGGCTGCCTTCTTTTAAAGCTTTATCTGTATTGGAAACATTCAATCTAGATGGTTCACACAGCTTGCCCTTCCTGGGAGAGGGGCAGGGATGGTATTGTAATTTTGCTTTTTCTGATCTCATTTTCAGGGAAGCGGGTGTGCATGGGAGAGCAGCTGGCAAAAATGGAGCTGTTCCTGATGTTTGTGAGTCTGATGCAGAGCTTCCGGTTTGCGTTGCCGGAGGATTCTGGGAAGCCCATCCTCACTGGAAGATACGGCCTCACTTTGGCCCCACATCCATTTAACCTGATCATTTCGAAGAGATAAAGGGCATCTCCGAGCAGAGGGGTGAACAGAACGCTGGTGTATGACCTTTCAAACAGATTCCTCCTTCTGCCCTTGACAGCAGATCGCCGCCCCGAGGACCCAAGCCAGGCTCAGGTTTGAGGGGAACTGCAAAGTGTGTCTAGGCCATGGGCGCTCTCGTTGGAGGCGTCTCAGCACATGGCTCCTGCCCTTGTGGTGCTGCTTGCCCGTGACTTCATGCTGGGGTCAGCGCGCCAAATAGGGAAGCTGGGGGTCCCAATTCCCTCCCGCCAGCGAACCTGACCCCTGGCCTCTCAGCCTCTGTCATCCCCCGTCAGGCGCGAGGCCTAACATGTGCCTTCTCTCTAGCTCCCTCTTCCTCCCAGGATGCTCCGTGTCTCTTCTGATAGCATCAAAACTGGGGGGTGGCTCTGGATTCCAGGCGAGATGATTCCTGCTTACCGCCAACGCTGCGAGCAGGACACCCCCAGATATGCTGTGGGGGTGCTTTTGAATTGCACTAAGCCTTTGCAATAGCAAGTTCTTCCTCCCTGAAGCATACCTGCCTTTTCTGCATTCCTGTGTTGGTAGCTTCCTTGAGGGAATGCTGAAATCAGGTGTTTATAAACGATTACATGATTACATATAATGCCTTACACTGAAGCACTTTAAAAACATCTTTGCCAAAGGGCTGTCTGTGTTTTCCTCGAATCTGTCGATATTTTACTACTTTTACTTGAAATGTGAAAACAAGAGCACTTTGTTTTATAAATCTGCCCAGTAAGAGATGTCTAGTCCCCACCTTTAGCCTAATTTCAGATGCTTTCATTAAACTTTTGATTTTGTCTAAGACAGTGTTATGCTGGGTTTGTTTTACCTTCATTGTAAACAAAATTCATGACATTCTGTTGTCAGATGTCAAGATAGGAAATAGAAGAAGGAATAGACCTTCCTGGGGAGAGGCCTCAATGGCCAATTCGCCTGATCTTCAGGTACAATTCTTTTCAGAAGCCCTGTGGGAGCACTCACCACCCTGCGCTAGCATAGTCCGTTTCCTTTTTCCTTTTTAAAAATTGTATCCTTTTTTTATTGAGGCAAATTTGGTTTACAACACTCTATATGGTTCTGGGCTATAGAGTCACACCTCTTCAGATATATGTTACCACACCACACCCACCACGAATAACCCCCCACCACAGTCTGTTGGACCCCCTCTTCCCTTTACTCTTCTCCTTCCTCTGGTAGCCTCAATTCTGCAGTCAGTTGTCTAGGGCTCGTTTTGCTTTAGGGTTGTCTGTTCCTTTGCTTTGTTTCTTTATATTCCACCTGACTTATTTTGCTTAGCATAATTCCCTCCAATTCCATCCATCTTGTTGCAATTGATCAGATTTCAACTTTCTTTTTCACAGCTGAGTAGTATTCCATTGTGTATGTGTGCCATAGCTTCTGAATCCACTCCCTGAGGCTGGACACTTAGGTTGTTTCCTTAACTTGGCTATTGTAAATAGTGCTGCAGTAAATAAACAGGAGTACAGATACTTCCTCAAACCTTGTTTACAAAAAATGTTGGCGAGGATGTAGAGGGAATGGAACCCTCTTACACTGTTGGTGGGACTTTCCAGCCTCTATGGAAAACAGAGTGGAGGTTTCGGAAAATATTAAAAATATACCTATCATATGATCCAGCAGTTCCACTCCATTCCTAGGAAATCCATTCTGGAAGGGCACAGCCAGTTTCTGATTTCCCTCACCAGAGTCAGCATTAGTGCAGAGAAGGGTAGATCCACACCAACCTCTGTGGCAAGGCACTGAGTACCTGTCTCTATTACAGCCCAGTAAGAAGTGCCTTGTAAACCCTTGAACCTTGGGCTTACTGCTGGATAAGCCCCCGTCTGTTTTTACCATGGCCTTACCTTCCTCTCCGAGGTCACAGCCCAGTGCCCCTTCTTCATGGAGGGGTCCCACTGATACACTCTCTTTTTTTTTTTTTTTAATTTTATAGAGGCATGTTTTATTTATTTATTTATTTGTTTGTTTGCTTGTTTTGTTTATACATGCACTGGGTACAGTCAGAAGCGCGGGAGGGTGAGAGAATTCACCAGAGCCAGAGCGGGGAGCAGAGCAGGCAGAAGGACCAAAGTACACTGCTGAGGGGAGCAGCGGGCGGCAGGAGAGGTCTGTGCGCCATGCGGGACCCTCCTCCAGTGGCCGGGGAGCAGCCAGGGATCGAACCAGCGCCGCAGAGGCCGCAGGCAGTTTTGCAACCCAGCGCTCAACCGCTGCGCCACCGGGGAGGCCCTGATACACTCTCTAAATGGCCTTTCCCTGCTTTGGATTGAGTGTTTGTGTGCCCCAAACTCACTGAAACTTCTCCCCAGTGGGTGGGACTGGGAGGTGGCAGCAGGAGGTGAGTACATCAGGAGAGGAGCCCTCAGGGACTAGGGTTCTTGTGAAAGGAACCAGGGCCCCAGGTCCTCCTTGTCCTTCTGCCATGAGAATGTGGCATGAGCCAGGATCCAGCTCTCAGCAGAAGTGAGTCCTCCTGTACCTCATTGGACTTCTGGCCTCCAGAACTGTGGGGAAGATCTTTCTGTTATTTATAAGATACTTGGGTATAGTAGCTATATTGTATTTTTGTATCTATAGTACTGATAGCATTTTTTGCTGTATTAGCCCAAATGGACTAAAACAGTCCCTAATCCCACCACCCAGTTTATTTCCTCTGGAGCCTGCCTCACCAGCTAGGCCTGATGAGCCCTTTGATGCTTAATTTTAAATTCTGATGCAATCCAATTTATCTGTATTTTCTTTTGTTACCTGTGCCTTTGCTGTCGGATCCAGGAAATCACTGCCAAATCCAATGTTGTGAAGCTTTCCCTTGTATTTTTTTTCTGGGAGTTTATAACTAGGTTTTGTGTTTAGGCCTCTGACCCATTTTGAGTGGTTTTTTTTTTTTTGTATCAAGTGTCATTTTATATCAAGTTGCGATGGTCATCATGGGGGCAAGGATAGAATAATAGAATATTGTCTACCTCATATTACTGTTGATATTTAATGGCATAAAAAAATGCTCAGAATATTACAATATAGCTTGAAAAGGAAGACCTAAATCTAAATATACTATGTCTCTTTAAACAACTAGCGACTGGACTTTGGAGTGTGAAATCATCATTAACTTTTGTTTCCCCCTTAACTCTTTTCTATGGTTTTCAACTTTTCTATAGCAAATATCTTTTTTCCATTAAAAATAAAGGAATAATGTTGACCAGTTTATGAACACCCAGCCACAGGCCACTGAGTAATGGGGGTGGTAGCTGGCAGCACGGACCCTGTTTGCTTCAAGGCCTCTAATATCCATTCGTCTGAAATAGGAGAACTTCTGTAGCTCTTAATAAAGCATGCTGCGCATTTATGATGGGGCATTTCTTTAATCTAAAATGACAATAGGCAAGGGTTTTCAAGGTCTAGATTTTTAAAGCTAAACAGAAGTTTAGAGATGCTCTAACTTAGCCTCCTACCAGATGAGGAGAGGGGAGTGTCAGAAGTAACCCACCCACGGGCCCCAGGATCCAGAACCAGGACCTCTTCTCATGCCTGGTCTGGTTCTGCCAGACGGTCAAAGGGAATCGCAAGCAAGATGCTCATTTTTTAAGTTAAATCATGTTGTTTTATGTATTCTTCACTTTAAGCAATTCACTTATTTATCTTAAAATTTTAAGTGACTTGTATATCCCAAGCTCTGTTAAAAGCTATAAGATGAAGAATTTCACCTAAATGAAAAGCTATGTTTGTAGACATTTCCCTGTAAACTTAAAAAAACCCCACAAAACATCAGATCCTTAGCACTGTAAACTGTATATTGAAAAGCACTTTGCTGCTTGATTCTGAGAGTGAAGAGCTTCTTATTCAAAATCTTAAGGGCAGGAGTCACATTGGAAGTGAAAGATTTCTTCTCTAGGAGTCCATGTAGCTGTATGACCGATAGTTTGGTGCGTTCCTTCTTTCTGTTGTCATAACAGGACCTGTAATTGTCTGGAAGCATTCAGTCCTGAACCACACCCTGGGCATGTAGAGGGAAGCTGTAGACAGAAACACCCCTGGGAGCAGCAATCAGGCTGGAGGTGTGGGCTGCTGCCTCAGGCCAGGGCAGCTGGGTCAAAGCTCAGGCAGAGCAGGCTCAGGAGCGATTCCACAACCACTCCTGTCCTGCCAGGAGTGCTGGATGGCTGCTGGGCCTCAGTTTCCTCATTTGTCAGGGCTCTGGAGAGGTGATCTCTCAGGTCGCAGCCTAGCTTCCTTTCCAGCCTTACAGCATCTTGACTGCATCCGAGAACTAATAACCTAACATCCCCTTGCCGCTCAGCAACTTCCAGATGGGAAGTTGGGACATCTGGGCCTGTCCCCCTGCTTTCCGGCGACTTCTCTACAGTGGTGTATCCAGGAATAAATTCAGCTGATGCAGAGGGCACTGACTGAGGAGTAGCTTCTGGGGAGCACGTAACTTCTTTGGTGGGAATTGATTTCCCCTGCTGTGACAGAACAGAGTTGAACTAGATGAGTGCCTCTCAACTCTGGCACAATCTTAGATTCACCTAGAAATGAGAAAAATATGGATGGCCAGGTGCCTCCCAGACCAGTAAAATCAGAATCTGCCACTTGCAAGAATACTCAGCAACCTCTGGAGAGGACCTTGCGGCACTTCCAGCGAAGTCAGAAGAGTCCTGCCTAGGCTGCTAACAGCCACATGAGGGCGCCCTACTGGGACAAGACTCCCCTTGGGGTGAAGCCACTAGACACCCCAGCCTTGAAGGACTCCTGGGCTACCACCTCAACAGCAACCACCCAACCCAGCTGCTGCTGATCCCCTGACCCACAGAAACTACAAGACCGTTTTTTCCCCCCCGCTCACTAAGTTTCAGTAACAGAGGACAAATGCAACCTGCACACAGTGCTGCGCACAGCTTCTTAGTCAGTGGTTCCCAGACCTTGATCTGGATTAGGATCCCTTTGAAAGGAGTCAGTGTTCCTCACAGGATGGCTGTGTCCAGAGCCTCCTTAGGCTGAAACGACCTGGGGAACCATCTTTGATTTTTGTTTTTTGGGTTTTTTTTTAATGAATTTATTATGGAATGTCCTTAGGAAAGCAACATGTGATTTATTTAAAAAAAAAAAACAACTACGTTTCTTCATGCTGATACAGATTTATCAGACCTTATGCAGTTACAGGCTTCTGCTACTGAATTCTCTGACACTATAGCACACAGTAGTCATGTCTACAAAAATAAAAGGCTCTCCTATATTTCTCTCCAAAAATGATGAATAATAACAGAAAATGGTGTAAAAAAAGCCATGTTTTCACTATTTATTCAGTCCTATGGGAGCCAGGATTTTAATCATCACAGCCTACAATTTTCACTGTATCCGCTTTAATAAGCTCGGCGCCTGTGGGAATTAACATCACTGGAAGTCTGGCCAGACCTGCCCTGCGTGGGCTGACGTGCAGGGCTGCAGTGGTGACGAAAACTGGACTCCCCTGCTCCTTCCTGGCGGGGCCCGGGGTTCCTAGACAGTAGTTTTGGGGGTGAGCAATTTCTTTCTGTTTTAGCAGAAACAATCAGCACCCACCAACCCAAGAGGGGGTTACTCGATGAATCCAGGGCCCCTTTTCATTTGGGGCTCCTTACCCTTTGGCCCCTTACCCTTTGGGGCCCCTTACCCTTTGGGGCCCCTTATCCTTTGGGGCACCTTATCCTTTGGGGTCCGTTATCCTTTGGGGTCCCTTATCCTTTGGGGTCCCTTATCCTTGGGGCCCCTTATCATTTGGGGTCCCCTCTCAGCAGCACCAAACAGCACTGCGTCACAAGCGAGACTGTGCCCAGGCGACAGGTGGGCTCTCTACTATGAGGCCGCTAGCAAGGCGCCGTGGTCCCGCCGCCGCGCTGACAGAGAAGCGGGGCGACTCCCGGGCGTCGCGCCCCAGCAGGCGCCCGCCGTTCCCCGCCAGGGCCCGCGCCGGGGGCGTGGCCGCGCCGGCCCCCTTGAGCGCGGAGGCCCCGTCCCCGCCGAGCGCGCGCCCCGCGGCCGGGCCAATGAGCGGCGCGGACGCGAGGCCCCGCCCCCGCCGCCCGTGACGTCCCGGGGCGCGCCGGGCCCGCCCCCGAGCTCGCCGCTCGCCCAGCGCCGCGGGTGCCTTGCGCGCGGGTCTCGTCGCCGTCGCCGCCGGCGCCTCCGCCTCCGTCATGGCTTTCGTGACCCGGCAGTTCGTGCGCCGCGTGTCCTCGTCGTCCACCGCGTCGGCCTCGGCGAAGAAGATCATGGTCAAGCACGTCACGGTCATCGGCGGCGGCCTGATGGGCGCCGGCATCGCGCAGGTGGGCCCGGGCGGGGGGCCCGGGGCGGGCTCGTGCGCCGGCGGGGCTGGTCCTGCCCGGGCCGGGGGCGGCGGCCGGCCGGGCGGGGCGGGCCCTGAGGGGCTGAGGGTCCCGCGGGGCTCCCCTCGCGCCCCGGCCCGGCTCTGAGACGCCGCGAGTCGGGGCCTGGGCGGCCCCCCGCCCCCGCCCGGCCGGGGCTCCGTGCCCTCGGGGTCGCGTTCCAGCCGCCGGGCCCGGGGGCGCCCCGGGAGGGCGGGGGGTGCGCCTTGCAGGCGGGCGTGCGGAGCGGGCCGGGCGCCGCCGCGCCGGGGTGGGAGGAACGAGTTTCCTCTGCCCGACTTGGCTTCCAGAGCCGTTCCGGCCGCAGTGGTCGCGTTACTCCTCTTGTCAGCTGTTCCCAGCGCGCCGCGGCCTTCTCCTCTGGACTCTGGTGCGCTTCCTTTGCTTGCTGGGCGTCCAAGACTAGTCATGAGTTTTATGGCACCCTGGCACGCTTATCTCATCGGATCTAGTGAGGCCCTGGCACCTTTGACCTAGTGTCCTGTGTGCAGAGATGCCCGTGGCGAAGGCGCAGGGGCGAGTGGGAGGGGGAGTCTTTGTGCACCTGCTGGGCGGTGCCCCCCTCCAGCCCAGCAGAGGGGAAGGGTCACCTGTGCCGTCCATTACCAGGCTGCGGTGGTCCTTGCATTTTCAAAAGGTGTTAGTAGCAGTTGCATCCCAGCTCCTATGGGTGATTTTCCTCTTAGCAGATTAAAGTCTTAGCATTTGGCCCTCTGCAGCTTGCGTTGTTGGGGGCAGGTAGTTGCCTGGTTTAGGAGAGTGTTTAAATGGTTCTTTCCCACCAAGTTCACCATTCCCAGCTAGCTTTTAAAAAGATCTTTTACCGTTATTATATATCTTCATTGTCTCCTGCCACCACATTTTAGGCTGCACGTAGGTTGCATGTTATCCTGAGATCTGTGTACTTCATTAGAGATTTTTACCTTCTGCTTTTTCATAGTCTCTCTTTTCTTTCTTCTGAGATAATGTTTCTGGATGTACATTGCCCTTTTTATTGTGTGGGTGCCCAGGCTGCCCAGTTATGATGCCCTCATAATTTGTTGCAAGTGTGTAGAAGGAAGTCTCAGTAATCTAAAAGTTTTACACATTATGTTACAGGAAATTTGGAGAGTTTCACTTGAGCTCACTAGTAATCCCCTGCTGTACTGAAATCTACCTCCCCCCCACTGTGAGAGTGAGCTTTGATGTGGGCAGGCATAAGACAATGTTATTTGTTTTTAAAACATTTTAACAGCCGTATTGACAAGATATTAGGGCCTTATGGCTCCAACAGCAGTATAGGAAATGGGTCCAGAAACTCTTGTGGACCTTCTGAAGACATCAATGAAAGGGGATTAAAAAACTACTTATGTCTAAGTAGAGCACATCACCCCAAATTTGTACAAAACTGATCGCTCAGGTCTTGAATGCTGCGCCATCGTTGGTAGCCTCTATAGTGATGGGTGTGGGCTTGGAGCTGCCATCTGAGGAGGGAGCAGGGATGTTCGGCATGGATAGAGCATAGATTTATGGATTCAGCCTGTGGTCCTTGAGCTGGACTAGGGGGTGCCTCTTCAAACCTTGGGGATGGAGGAGGATTATTTATCCCACAGCTTAGAAACATAATGGAGCTGTCATTCTTAAAGTCGTAAAGACCATAAGTGCATATAGTGGAAGGTCATGAAGAAAAGCAGTTCCATCCAGACACAGCAAAGTTTGAAAGCGTCTCAGCACTTTGCATCATCACTCTAATCCTCATCCTGGGGTCCCTGCTGTCCTGGAGAACATACCCTTGCGTGCTGACATTGCTCGTTGGTGCCCGTGGTGTTACCCGAGGTTTAGCTGATCTGCCTTTGCACTCTGCCCTGCAACATGCAATTCTAGGCAGGATTGCCTCATTCTTTATGCTCCTTGCCCGGCAGCTTTTGGTACTGAGTAAATCTTTCTTGCTTATTGAGTGCTACTGACTAGTTAAAGTGTTTTGAATGTGGATTGGCTCCAGGTCAGTAAGGGGAATTGAATGGCATGGCCCGAATGCTGGCTTGGCCTCTTGGGCTGTGTTAGCCAGGGAAGTTGCTTCTCTGTGCCTCAGTTTACTCATCTCTAAAACAGGACCAACGCTAGTACTAGCCTTGTAGGAATATGGAAGGATGGAATGTCTGCTTGTCAAGCCCTCAGCTTGGCACATAATAGAAGCTCACAGAATGTCAGCTGCCTGCGGGAGTGCTGTCCCCATTCCAGTTGGCCCATCTTTCGCCCCCCCCCCACCCTGTCGTATCCACTTCCGTCCTGATCCTCTTGGCTGAGGTGGGCCTGGAGTACTAAATGGGGAGCGTTGGGTGTGATTCTTGCATGGTTTTGGATGCAAATGTGCACTGATACTGCAGTTTGGTTGTCCAGGGGGACCTTGGAGAAGAGGGAGGGCCTTTTTTTGTCCCGTCCAATGCATTGTAAAACCTCCAGAAGTTACACATTTACCCTAAATCTTGAACTGTTTTTGAAGTCAGTTGAACTTTAATCAAGCTGCTGTTTACAATTTTAATTTTTAAAAATGTATTGTTTGGTCATATGTTCCAGTTCATGGTGAGTAGGATGAAAACTTTAGATTTTTGTGGGAGCTGGACACCTTTCTCAGGCAGTTCCACAGCTGAAGACAAGTAAGGTCTGTGCCTAATGACATCTGAGCAGAGCACAGGCCGTGTGTGCATTTGTATTGTCCAGGAGGATCTGCCTTGACTGTAATTTCTTGTTTGCTTTAAATTAAAAAAAAAAAACCCACAAAATCCCTTAGGCTGCAGGTTAATATTTAAGTCGGGCTAGCTTGTTTGTGTGTTTGCCCATTGCCTGCCCCTCACTTGGTTTGCTTGCTAGCTTCTCTCTAAGCAGACGCTTAAGGACAGCAGAGAAACTTGTGGGGTAGGCTGGGGAGGGGATCACAGGATAGGCTGGTTTTTGTTTGCTTCTAGAAAGGGGACAGTGAAGGATGACAACTGCTAACTGCATTTTTTCAATTTATAGAGAGAGTCTTTTCTAAACTTCGCTTTGTCCTGTACCTTTTTTGTACCTGTGGAGCCCAGAGAGTTGGCAGCTTTTGTTCAGTTAATGGTGAGGGCTGCAGGGGTTCCCTTGGAATGGGGGATTTCTTTGAGCTCTCAGACACCCCTCCTTTTGATTGCATTACACCTCTTCCTGGAGCTGAGAAGGGGTTGGGACTGGGTCCTTTTCACTGAAGGCTTTTGTGTTTGTGTCCCTCTAAAAAGCAAAAAGTGCAGCATGTCTTTTGGAGAGCGCTCCTGAGGCTGTGAAAACAAAGTTGGGGGTGGGGGGGAGCACGCACATTGCAAGGTCACAATGACCATTTCCTGCCGCTGGTGTTGCCCTGCCCTGTTGGTGAGCACTCAGGAGATCTGAAAGCTGCTTGTCTCCCCACCGCTGATGGCTCCCCCTGGTCTCCCCGCTTTCAGTGCTGAATTCCCGAGGCTAGCACGAAGAGCCCCGAGTTGCTCTGTGTGGTTTGGCTTCATTCTTTTCTGTTGCTGCCGTGGCCGAGGCCAGGTCTCCATTGAAGCTTGCTTGCCAACAGCGCGGCGGCCTAGGAAAGGGTGCAGGGGCCCCAGGGGACTGGCCCAGTCCGCTGCCCGCTCTCCTGACTGTTCCTTTTGGTGGAAGGATCTTAGTCTCGGTGTTTACTGTCTTCCTAAAGGCAGATTTGGGGGTCGTCAGCAGGCTCTTCCCTCCTTTCCCACATGGCTGCTCTCTTCTTTCTTGGGCCCTGTCCCGCCATCGTGAACTACGGGGACCATGAAACCGGCCTCTGTCAGCAGGGGGGGTCCTTGGCCCTGAGCCCGGCTGGAGCAGGGTAGAGGGGGGCGCTGACTGGCAAGGAAAAATGCCAAAAATGCCGTGAGATGCTCTTGACCTTGTGGAGCAGAAACGGCGGGCGTCTCCTTCTGGTGTGGGGTTTCCTCGGCGTTTGTCCCGGGGGCAGCCTCGCTGTGCCCTGGCCCTAATTTCCTCTCTCACCCTTTTCCCCTGTTCCCATGTCTGCCTGGGCACACCCCTCATGCCGCACTCTCCCGGGGCCACGGGCAGAGAATGCTGTCTCCCCGGGTTGCTTCTGTTTGCCGTGGCCCCTCTCCCCCCATCCGCCTGCGTCCTCATGCCCTGCTGCTTGCAGCTGCCTGCGGGCTTCACACAGGGAGGCGAGCAGGCCGGCCCGTCTCTGCCGATGGGATCCAGCCTTTCCTGCCCCGGTTGTCGGAACCAGGGATGGAGGCCGCCACCCACCTCTGCCTCCCTCTGCCTTGCCCCCCAGTGCTGTGCGAAGTGGGCGCTCCAGGTCTGCCTCCTGGCTCAGGGCTGGCTGGGGAGCCGTGGCTGCTGTGCAGACCCCGCCGGCCGAATGCGGCGTGACTGCTCTTCTTAGGGGTGCTCTGCGCTGTCTCTGCACATGTTTGGTCAGGGAAGGTGGAATCAACGAGTTCTGAAGATTTTAAGGTCATATTATGTGGGTCGTTGAAAACGACAATCTTAGTGCTCTGTGTACTCGGTTTGGGTGTCACGATGAGATCATACTTAGAGCATTTACAATGGAGCCTGGTGCTTCAGGGTTTATACCGCAGGTCCTCATGCCCTGGCATGGACGTCGTCGCATTATAACTTGTTGAGAAAAAGCACTTCTGCCGGCCGTGGCCGCTGTCTGAGTGAGGCCGGCACATGTTCTCCCCTCGTCGGGTTCTCTGTGCCGCCTGGAGAGTCCTGAGTCTGAGGTGCCTGCAGTTCTGCCTGCACCTCTGGCCCCTGCTCTGCTGGGGAGAGGTGTGGCCTCCGTGCGCAGGGAGGCCCTCCATGGGTGCCTGGAATCAGCAGATAGCAGCTTGACCTCTCCTGCTTTCCAGCCTCAGCCAGAAGCACCTGCTGGTCACCCCCAGCTTCACATTCTCCAGTCATACTTCTCCCCA